GAGCGGGGCAGTGGTGGGGACAGTGGGACAGTGGTGGGGACTGTAGCGGTGGGGACACTGGTGAGGACAATGGTGGGAACAGTGGGGACAGTGGACAGTGGTGGGGACGGTAATGGTGTGGGGACAGGGAGAGGTAAAAACAGTGGGACAGTGGAGGGTACAGTGGTGGTGGGGACAGTGGTGAAGGCGGTGGCGAGGACGGCGGTGGGGCAATGGGACAGAGGTACAGTGGGGACAGTGGTGGGGACAGTGGGGACAGTGGTGGGAACAGTGGGACAGCTCAGTGGGACAGCGGAGGAGTCAGTGGGACAGTGGGGACAGTGGGGATAGTCGGGCAGTGGTTGGGGCCGTGAAGAAAGTGGGGAGAGTGGAACCGTGGTGGGAACAGTGGTGGGGACAGTGGGGACAGTGCGACAGTGGTGGGAACACTGGTGGGAACAGTAGGGACGGTGGTGTAACCAGTGGGGACAGTGGTGTTCAGGACAGTGGTGCTGGGAACAACAGTGGGGGATGTGGCGCGGACGGTGGTAGGGACTGGGAGTCGTTGCTGGCGGTGAGTGGGGGGGGTGGGGAGGGGTTCGAACTGGTAGTGACCCCCCCTCCGGTTTTCGAGGGGGTAGGGGGGGTTCGAACCGGTAGTGACCCCCCCGCGGCTTTTGGGGGGGTTTTGCCGGGGGAGGGGAGAGGTGGGGGGGGGTCCAGCAGGGTGGGGAGGATTTTCGGAGGGGGGGGGGGGGAACCCTGGGGTCCAGAGGAAGAGGGGGGCAATTTTCCACAGTAAAGCGGCGTTGGATCACGCTCTCTCGATGAAGCTGATGATGATGATGCTGATGATGACGATGATGACGATGATGATAATGATGATGATGATGATGATGATGATGCTGATGATGATGATGATGATGATACGGATGGTACTGATGATGGTGATACTGATGATGATACTGATGATGATGGTGATGCTGATGCTGATGATGATGATGCTGTTGATGATGATTGGGTTTGGTATGGGTACGTATCTGATGATTACGATGGTTCTGCTGATGATGTGGATGGCGATGATGAGGATGACGATGATGCTGCTGATGATTATGACGATGCTGATGGGGGCTGGTGGCAATGATGATGACGGTGGGTCTGATGAGTCTGATGGTGATGATGATGATGATGATGATGATGATGACGACGATGATGATGATGCTGAAACTGATGTTGACGATGCTTGTGCGAAGGAGGAGGACGACGGGGAGGAGGCGGAGCAAGAGGAGACCGCAGAGGTGGTGATAGGGAAGGGGCAGACGAAGAGGATTGGAGGAAGATGCAGATAATGCTATTGACGATGATTGCGATGTCGATGATGGTGTCGCTGCTGCTGATGAGGAACATGCTAGTATCGATGTCAATGCCGATGCTGATGGCGATGCTGATATGATAGTGATGATGATGCTGATGTTGCCGCCGACGACGGCGATGCTGATGCTGCTGATGATGATGATGTTGCTGATGATGCCGATGATGATGCTGATGGTGATACTGCTGCTGAGGATGATCATGACGACGATGGTGGTCCTGATTATGATGATGACGATGATGCTGACGATGATGTTGACGCTGTGGAGGGTGACCACGCTGATAATTATAATGATGACGATGACGACGCCGATCATGATGATGAGATGATAACGCTGATGATGCTGATGATGATGATGGCAATGATAGTGGAGGCGGTAGTGACGATGATGATGATGATGATGATGATGATGATGATGATGATGATGATGATGATGATGATGATGATGATGATGATGATATGAAGGAGGTGGATGCTGCTGCTGTCGATGCTGATGTTGATGATGATGCTGATGAAGATGATCATGACGACGATGATGACGATAATGCTGATGCTGGTGATGATGGTGGTGGTGATGCTGATGATGATGATGCTGATGATACTGATGATACTAATGCTGATGCTGATGCTGATGCTGATGCTGATGCTGATGCTGATGCTGCGGATGCTGATGTTGATGTTGCTGATGATGATGATGATCATGACAACGATGATGACGACAATGCTGCTGCTGCATCTCCGGATGATGATGATGATGATGATGATGATGATGATAATGATCATGACAACGATGATGACGAGAATGCTGATGCTGATGATGGTGAGGACAATGATGAGGATCATGATGATGAGGTTGACGATGATGATAATGATGATGATGATGACGATGACGCTGTGGATGGTGATCACGCTGATACTGATAATGATGTCGATGACGACGACGATCATGATGAGATGATAACGCTGATGATGATGCTGCTGATGATGATGGTGATGACAATTATGATGGTGGTGGTTGTGACGATGATGATTATATGGAGGATGTGGATGCTGTTGCTGCGGATGCTGATGCTGATGTTGATGTTGATGATGGTGATGCTGTTGCTGCTGTTGCTGATGATGATCATGACGACGATGATGACGATAATGCTGCTGCTGCTGCTGCTGCTGCTGATGATGATGATGATGATGGTGATGGTGATGGTGGTGGTGATGATGGTGATGATGATGATGATGATGATGATGATGATGATGATGATGATGATGATGCTGCTGATGATGATGATGATGATGATGATGATGATGATGATGATGATGATGATGATGATGATGATGATGATGATGATGACGATGATGCTGCTGCTGCTGCTGACGAGGAGGTGAAGGCAGAGGAGGAGGATGAGGAGGATGACATTGATATCGTGATGAGAAGGCGACGGATGAGGCGCAGGAGGAGGAGGATGAGGAGGAGCAGGAGTAGGAGGATGGGGATGGGAAGTAATTGGGTGAGGGGGATGGAGGAGGACGAGATGAGGCGGACGAGGGGGACGCAGTAGATGTGGACGGAGGGTGTTGCGGATTCAAAACCAGGACCTCTAAACCAGGAGATCTGTGAAAAGCAGTATGACCAACAGCAATATTATACCAGAGAACATCCCCAATCAGTGCATGGTTTGAAAATTAGTGATGTGGATGTTGAAATCTATTGTGATATTGAAAGTGAGATCGATAGTGGCATCGATAGTGGGGACGATAAGATCGGTCGTGAGACCGATAGTAAAGTCGATCCAGTGAGATGGATAGTGAGATCGACCGTGAGATCGCTCGTGCGATCTATAGTGAGATCTACAGTGAGATCCACAGTGAGATCATTTGTGAGATCGATTGCGAGATCGATAGAGAGGTGGGCAATGAGATCGATGGTGAGACCGATAAATAATGAGATCGACCAGGAACTCGGGAACCCAGACACCCAGGAACCCCGCCGCCCACCGAAATCGGCGCGGAACCAGCAACCGGGAACCTGGGAACCCAGAAGCGGGAATCCGGGAACCCAGCCGCCCTTCGAAATCGGCCGAGAATTTCCGCCAAATTTTCCATTACACCAGAAGGAAAACCCAACCAGTGGATGGTTTGAAAATGAGTGATATGTATATTGAGATCGATAGTGGGATCGATAGTGGGGACGATAGGATCGGTCGTGAGACCGATAGTTAAGGCGATTCAGTGAGATGGGTACTGAGATCGACCGTGAGATCGCTCGTGCGATCTATATTAAGATCTACAGTGAAATCGATAGTGAGATCGACTGTGACATCGATCGTGAGATCGGTCGAGAGGTGGGCGATGTGATCGATGGTGAGACCGATCGATTAGGAGATCGGCCAGGAACTCGGGAACCCAGACACCCGGGAACCCTGCCGCCCACCGCAATCGGCCCGGAACCAGCAAGCGCGAACCCGGGATCACTGGAAGGGGGAAGCCGGGAACGGTCGCCAAATCTGTCAACATCAGCCAGGACCCCTTCAGTGCAAGCACTGATTGTCACCACCCACCAAACCACCCCAACCCAACCCGAGGGCCCCAATTTGCCCTCCATTTCCAGTTGGGGGGGGGGTCGGGGAACGTCGAGAAAACACACATGAACCCCGTACCCCCCCCAACCCGAAATTCGGGTCTTCGGGTTGGGTTGGGGTGGTTTGGTAGGTAGTCAGATTGGGAACTAAGACGAGTAATCAGAGGCATAAGAGCAGTGGAGTGGCAGCATCAGCAGCACTGACATGGACGTTCCGAGGCTGCGCGGAGTTCTCGGAGTTGCGTTGGACCATCCTCCCAGGGCGGCGCCTCCGAGGCCGCCATGCGAAAGAACTCCGATCTAGCAAATCTTGGGAGGGGGGTCTGCGCCGATCCAAGGAATCTGCGTGGTCCTGCGAACGTTTGAACTCATGCAGGTTTGCCGTCGTTTGTGTGCAGTCCCCCCTCTCCTCGTGCATTGCCGAGCAGCGTCCGTGCACCTGCTGTGGGATCGCGAGTCTCTTGGTTCTTCTCTTCCTCCTACTTTTCCTCATCCGCTTACGTCGTACCAGCCGTCTTCAGCTATTTTCTCCAAATAGGCTTGCCCTGTAGGAGTTCTAACTCAAACCCTACTAATTGGTCCGTTGCCCCCCCTACTTCGTATGCCCCCCCTAATTCCTATGGCTATGCCTATGCCTATGCCTATGCCTATGCCTCCCCCCTATTTCCAATGGCCCCCCCATCTATTTCCAATGGCGAGTCCTATGGATTCCTGTGGATTCCTGTGAGTCGCTTGCCCTTGCTTGCTCTTGCGTGCTCTTACTTGCTTGCTCTTGTGGTTTGCTCTCGCTTGCTTGCTCTTGCTTGCCCTCGCTTGCTTGCACTTGATCGCTGGCTCTTGCTTGCTTGTTATTGCTCGCTTGCGCTTGCTTGCTTCCGCTTGCTTGCTTGCGCTTGCTTGATTTTGCTGCTCCCGTCCTCCTCCCGTCCTGCTCCCGTCCTCCTTTCGTCCTCCTCCCATCCTTCTCTCGTCCTCCTCCTGTCCTATCTATTTGGAGTCAACGCTGGCTGATGTTATCGTCTTGCTTCTCTGACTGTTCTTCTTGTGTCCCCTGTCGCCCGCCGAACATCCAAGGTACTGCCATCAGCGCGGTCTCACGTGATGGCCCTTTGGAGTGGCCGCTGCGGCTGCTGCGTACCATGGAACAAGATGGCCTAAGGCCCCTCCTGGTTGCGCTTTGTATGGACGGTTCATCCACGTATAGCTTCCGTCTTCTCGTCCCCTCCGCTTCCGGCCCATCGCCACGCTTTGCCCACAACCATGTCGACAGGAATGCATCATGGGAAACGATGCCTTTTTGCACGCGGCTTCGGTTTGGTGTGTGCCATGTGGACCTCATGAGCAACTTCAGGAGCAGTGGCCGCATTTGAAACGACACGCACTCCTTGTCGCGATGCCTGCGTTGTAGCAGGAAGGGGGAGTAAAAGGAGGAAGTGTCTGAAGGCGTGCGCGAGAGAGAATACGAGGGAGTAGTAGTAGTAGTAGTAGTAGTAGTAGTAGTAGTAGTAGTAGTAGTCGTAGTCGTAGTCGTAGTAGTAGGAGTAGTAGTAGTAGTAGTAGTAGTAGTAGTAGTAGTACCCAACGGTGCGTTAGGGGACCCCCGCAAATCATCCACTTTTGCTTTGACCGATGCCGCAGGGATTTAAACGAAGAAGTTCGTTCATATGTTGATGTAGATGTTGACCCTGTGTTGTTGCAATAACGTTTGCAATCGAACACGTCGCAATCAAAACAATAAGAAGCCAACACACTCAAAAACAATAAGGAAAGCTCACAATCAAAAACAGTAAGAAATCAACGCAATCAAAAACAATAAGAAACAAACACAATCAAAAACAATAAGGAAAGCACACAATCAAAAACAATGAGAAGCCTTCACAATCAAAAACAATAAGAAATCAACACAATCAAAAGCAATAAGAGAACCATTCAATCAAAAACAATAAGAAAACCTTACAATGGAAAACAATAACAAAAAAGACAATTAAAAGCAATAAGAAAACGTCTTGGGACCACGATCCCTGTGAGGGTTCAAAAAATCTAAAAACATCAAAAAAAATCAAATAAAACTTGTGAGGGCCCCAAAAAATTCAAAAATCAATGGTTTTCGGGTCTTCGAACTCCCTCCGGCCCCCTCCCAGCCCGTCCCAGGCAGCCTGGAGACCCGAAAACCATTGATTTTTGTTTTTTTTGGAACCCTCACAGGTTTTTTTTTTTTTTTTTTTTTTTTTTTTTTTTTTTTGTTTTTGTTGATTTTTTGGAACCCTCACAGGGATCGCGATTCCAAGACGTTTTCTCACAATCAAAAGCAATAAGAGAAACATACAATCAAAAACAATAAGAAAAGCTTACACTGGAAAACAATAACAAAAAAGACAATTAAAAACAATAAGAAAACGTCTTGGGACCACGATCCCTGTGAGGGTTCCAAAAAATCAGAAAAATAAAAAAAACAATAAAACCCGTGAGGGTCCCCAAAAATCTAAAAATCAATGGTTTTCGGGTCTTCGAACTCCCTCCGGCCCCCTTTCAGCCCGTTCCAGGCAGCCTGGAGACCCGAAAACCATTGATTTTTAGATTTTTCGGAACCCTCACAGGTTTTATTGGAATTAGTTTGGGTTTTTTTTGGTTTTTTTGGAACCCTCACAGGGATCGTGATTCCAAGACGTTTTCTTATTGTTTTTCATTGTCTTTTTGGTTATTGTTTTCCTTTGTAAGGTTTTCTTATCGTTTTCGATTGTATGGTTCTCTTATTGCTCTTGATTGTGTTGATTTCTTATTGCTTTTGATTGTGTTGATTTCTTATTGTTTTTGATTGTGAGGGTTTCTTATTGTTTTCCATTGTAAGGTTTTCTTATTGCTTTCCATTGTAATGTTTTCTTATTGTATTCGTTTGTACGGTTTTCTTATTGTTGTTCATTGTAATATTTTCTTATTGTTTTTGATTGTATGGTTTTCTTATTGTTTTTGGTTGTGTTGGTTTCCGCAGAGCCTCCACACGAAGAAGGGCCGCAAGAAGAATCCGATGATTGAGACCTACGTCAACGAGTGGGTGTGGCGACACAACCACCGCGAGGGCAACGGCTTCAAGATGGTGGGGGCTCTCTTCAAGGACTGAGTGGTGCTGTGATGCGACTCTGCGCCCGTCGGGAATGCGGGCTCTTTCCAGCTGGCGAGATAGTCGGGGTCTCCGCCCACTCGTGTGCGTCAAAGGCCGCCTGCAACTCCGCCTCCGCCTGCACCTCCGCCTGCGCCTCCGCCTGCGTCTGGGCCTGCGTCTGGGCCTGCGTCTGCGCCTGCGTCTGCGCCTGCGTCTGGGCCTGCGTCTGGGCCTGCTGCTGCTGCTGCTGCTGCTGTTGCTGCTGCTGCTGCGCCTCTGCGTGCGCCTGCAGCTCGGTCGCGTCGGTGTCTGCCGCAGCCGCGCCCGTCCCCACCTGGGCGGAGGGGGGCGCTCCGAGGCGAACCTAGCTGCTACGACAGCGAAGCCGACATCATCATCGTCACCGTCACCGTCACCATTGCATATCCATCGCCATCGCCATCACCGCCATCATCGAAACTGCGGAAACACCGTTAGGAAATTGGATGCGCTTTGGACGCGGGTCGGACGCGTCCAATTTGCGTCCAGCCCGCATCCGTTTTGCGAGTTGACGATGTGTTGAGTGCGGGGGAACGCTAGCTCACAGCGAGGATTTAACAGCATGATGTAACGACTGATGGTGTTGTCTTCCTCCTTATCCTTGGTGTCGTGCCGCCTTCTCATCCTCGCCGTGAGCCAGCGTTCCCCCATCGCTCTCAAAATTGCTTCCACTCGCAAATTGGGTGCGGGTTGGGCGCGAATTGGACGCGCCCAACCCGCATCCAAAGCGCATCCAACTTCCTAACGGTGCTTCCGCAGTCGCCCCTTCGACGTGTTCTCCTCCTGCGCTTCCTTCCTCCTCCTCCTCCTCCTCCTCGTCCTTGTCCTCCTGCTATTCCCTTCCATCGCATGTCGCCTCCTCGAGTTCCTTCCAATTCCCACCATCTGTTATTCGATCCTCATCGTTGTCTCCCTCCTCATTCGTTCGCCATCGACCTGCGTCGCCTCCTCCTCGTCCGACGTGCGCGGCGTCTCCGGGGCGCCTAGCAGCGCCCGCGCCTTGGAGGAGGAGGAGGAGGAGGGTAAGAGGCTGCGTGGCACCCCGCAGTTGCAGGTACGAGTGAGGGGGGCAGGGGTCGTCGGGAGTCTGCGATGCTCAGACGAAGCCAGCCGCAGGCGCCGATTTTTGCAAACTGGGCAACGAGCCCGCCGCAGGCGCAGTTTCTCGTCAAAGCAAGGCGGGTGGGTCGTTGAGTGGGTCATGCGGTTGGTCGCAGGGTGGGTCGCGGGCGAAGGCGATTGCCAGAACAACAGCAACAACGACAACAACAGCAGCAACAGCAGCAACACCGACACCGACAAAACAACGGCAACGACAACGTAAACAGCAACAGCAGCAACACCAACGCACCGCAACAACGGAAACACAATCCGCACCGCGGAAGCCCGCATCAGCCACGCCCGGCGACAATGAATGACCGTTCGGCCCCCTCATTCTAATTTATTACTTAAGAGAAGGGCCCCGCGCACCATCGGCACCCGCACCGTGAATTCGCGGATGTCCGTGAAACGCGGGGATGGCGCGGGCGCTTTGCCCATGAGGTCCGCCTCGAACCAGATGGAGCTTGCTCGAGGACGAGGATGAGGGGCAACGGATTCGATGAATTCAGAAGCAACGACATGAATCTCGTTGCCCCGTTGCTCCTGAACTCATCGAATCCGAGAAGGGAAACCAACCTATGGCAAGTGTGTATAGTTTCTATGGGGTGTCGATGTGTTTTCGAAGATCCTGGAACCGTAAACAATGTTAATTCAGCTATGTTGTGTAAGGTTCTTATTAACAAAATCATCATGGTCATAAAATAAGATCCTACATACCCGAACTTAAATTAAGATCATGAGGACCTCTGGGGATCGTGATCTTTCGCGATGTTGCAATTGGTTCGTGACATCGGATCTCAGGGAACGGCTCAGGATGAAGAGCCGGTTCTGGGGAAGGGGTTCAAACTTTTGGGGGCCCAGTTGTGAAAAAGGAACGCCGGCGGGAAATTCTTGTCGCTGGAGCGGCGAATGGTTCAGGGGCTTAGTTGCCCTGATACGCCCGCGTTGAAACACAAAACGTACCGCGTTCAAATCGTTTTGGTTGAAGAAAGGCTGCTTGCTGTCTCAACGCCTGTTGGCCCACGTTTTTGTTGGGTTTGGCGCGATCACGCCGTGCCGGGCCTCTGCTACGGGTTGCGTGCTGCGTATCGGGGTAGCCAAGTTCAAGGGTCATTGGCCGAAAGAGGGGGTCAGGAAATATTCGGTCAGGCCAAACTCGGCCGAGCCGGAACTCGGCCAGCTGAAGTCGGCCAGGCTCGGCCCGGGCCGACTCCGGCTCGGCCGAGGTCCAGCCGCCTCGCCGAGATCGGCCAGTCGAGTGCTGCCTGGCAGAGTTCGGCGGGCCGAGCTCGGCCTGGCCGAGCTCTTCGCGGCCGGGTGCGGCGGCTGCCTCCGGGGCCGAGGGAGGCGGCCCCCCGGGCGACGAGGGGCGAGGCGTGGGTGCTCCTCGCGTCCGGGCCGCTCCCCGACCCGCGCCTTGGGCGGTGTGGCATCACGTCCACGATCGTAATGATCACAACGACCAGGCTCGAGCCAGCTTCGCCAGCGAGTGCACACCGAGGCTCCGCAGAGTCCTCAAGCGAGCCTTTCCCATCCCTCGTCGCGTGCCTTCTGTGGGTGCAGCAGGACCTCACAGCGAGGTTTGAGCGCGTAGTAGTAGTAGTAGTAGTAGTAGTAGTAGTAGTAGTAGTAGTAGTAGTAGTAGTAGTAGTAGTAGTAGTAGTAGTAGTAGTAGTAGTAGTAGTAGTGGTAGTAGTCGTAGTAGTAGGGTCGTAGTCGTAGTAGTGGTAGTAGTAGTAGTAGTCGTAGTAGTCGTAGTAGTCGTAGTAGTAGTAGTAGTAGTAGTAGTAGTAGTAGTAGT